GAGAAAACACCCTCTGTGTCATGTAAGGCACATAATACGTCTCTGTGGGTGTGGGGCACAGGCAGAGAAGCTATTTAAGGGGTGTTTATAGGAAGGCTCTGCATATCTTTTTATGGGGTGAGCAGGAAGGCACACGGAGCATGTGTGGAGCTGGAGATGGGGGAGCAGCTGCAGCCGGGTGAGCTGCAGCACGGTGCCAGGGCTTCCTTGGTAGCTGCAGAAGTAGTTTAGCCTAGTCCTCTGCTCCTGCGCTTTGTCCCCCAACTATTGCTCCCTTTCCTTTGAGGGTAGGAAGGAATCTGCTGTTTTTCCTCCCTCCATCTGCTGTCTCACCAGCCTGTTGGCCCTGTGAAAAAAATCCAGGCAGGTAGGAGCTAAGGCAGCGTTGACAGTGCAGAGCTGTCGCTCATCAGCGCGAGCAGGCATGTCTGGAGGGGAGGGTAGAAACAATCTGGTGGCTGGAGCGTGTAGCCCAGCTGGCAGCGCTGCACGAGGAGAGAAGCGCAACTGGCTTCAGTTTTACTTGAAGAATGCCCTGCCACTCGGAGCCGTATACGCTCACGGCCCGAGCGCAAACACTTGGGCTTGAGCAGGCAATGTGGTTACCAACGCACGTGCGCAGCCCAGCTACGTTTCAGGTTAGATTAAACGTGACTCTTCTGCTTCCTTTTAGGATTGAATCCAGCGACCTCCCTTTACTGGCAGCTGTAGCAAGCACTCACTCTCCGTATGTTGCCCAGATACTACTTTAAAATGCCAGAGGCCGTGGACGTTGACTTTTTTCCCCTCTGGAAATAAAGTGGAAGACAACTCGTTCTGGCTCCTTTCTCTTTGAAGCAACTAAAACAAACTGCTCGGTGAGCTGCAGCACCTCCATGTATGACTGCACGTTACGCAAACCGTTGGAGACTTTTCCTCTCCCACTTGGTCATTTATAAAAAAGGATAAAGAAAGGAAAAAGGAAAAATGAGTAAGGCTGAGATTTCAACCACGGAAAAGCAAAGATTTTAGCAAAAGCTGAAGATCTGCATTTTTTAATCAGTTTCTGTCACAATGGCTAACTGTAATTTATACTGGGGAACGTGAGGAAGAACTGCTTTGAGAAATGCATGATGCCATCGCCAGTTACAAACTCAACAAGAGAATGCAGCAGCTGCCTTCAGACTGGCTTCTGCCCATGAGGATCTCGTCAGATCCGTGATTCTCAAGCTGCAGTGATTTGTAAACAGCCTCTGCTTTTTCACGGCATAGTCAAATTCTGGACGCTTCCCCGAGGAAGAACAGGGGTTGGGGGGGGGTTGGTGTGTTTTGTAAAAAGCTCATTAATGACACTCAGCTCCAAAATCTATTTATGATCTTTCCCCTGGGGAGAGGGGATAGCGGGGGGCGTCGGTGGGGACAGGGAGGGAGAGGCCAACAGACAGACTAGCGATGGAGGTTCTCTTTCTTGGCCGGATGTTGTAACCAGTATTAAATGTGTTTATAATGTTTAGATGTTGCTTTATACTAAGTGATGCTTTTCTTCCACAACGTAATCAAAACGTTAAAAAAAAAAAAACCAAACCAAACAACCCAAATCTAAAGAGAACGTTGGCTGAAATTTCCCCGTGGGGTCCCCAGAACGACACGACTATTACCTCTAACTTTTTTATGGTCTCTAATGTTCTTGCAACATCATATTCTTTTTACAGCAGTCAGTCAGCTATTGAAATAATGAACTAGAAATAATTGTACCAAAGCATTGGGGAAAAAACAGATAGACTCTTACCCTTAATTGCTCAGGTAACTAACTGATATATTTTTTAAAACCATTCTACAAAAAATGAACATTGATTACACCAGAGTATAGTAATATCAAAATTATTTTTTGACAAATACACCCTTGACGCAGATGAGACTAATCCCTTTTCTACTCACTTGTGTAATTACCAGCAGGAAATGTTGTTTATTTTACTCTCAGCATTTCTCCTCTACTCAGCCATCGCTGTTTTGTCATTGTATATACAATAGTTGTACGAATAGCTGATGGACCCAATCTGGTGTAAGTAATGTAAATATACAGTGGTAGGTGGATTATGTTTTCAAAGGCTCTACTACCTCAGTTTAACTGGACGCTTCATGACAGGCTTTTCTTTGCGTGTTTGTCCTGGCAGCCAATTAATGTTGCTGATTTTTAGGTTCCGTTTTCATCGATGACATTCAGTATATCGAAATTCATGGATTATCCGCAGAAGTAGGAGATACGTGTTCACTTGGTCGCTAAACTCCGTAACAGTTCTATAAATAACGTCGTTCTGTAAGCATCTTTTCAATAGTATAGCACGCCTGCTATTGTTGTTTGCAGAGTTACTTTAAATACAAATCTATTTTAACCATTTGATAAACTTGAAAACAATAGGAGAGATCCCTGCCCCACCGCTGTCAACGACGAAGCTCTCCTCCCTTCCTTCGCTGGGGCCAGGATTTCACCCAGAGTGGGGTTTTTTTCTGTAATATTTAAAATCTGTAACTTAAGACTCTGTTCCAGGGGAGATCTACATGGCAAACCCAAACCCCTTTCCGTGTAGGACTGAGTCGACGTTAGTGAGTAAACCAAACGTTAATATAGGCAGTGTCATTTGAAACTCTCTTGTATATAAAGTCTAACGCTGACTGCTGCAGGGAAGAAACTTGGGTTTAATACGTGACCTAAGGATATGTTTCTCCCCTATTCTTCAAATGTCCTTCCTTCACCACACAATTATATTACATCTGGCTTTTGGAATGAGCACAGAACGTAGGGGCCCAGTTGTGTAAACACGTTTTTAATGACATATAGGATTGAGCTCAGAATATGAATTTTTAACTCTTTGCTATAATGCGTTATATAGCCAATAGTTACAGTTCTGAACATTGTACATAGATTTGCAGTTGTAACCTGACGATGTTAGTGCTGCCGGGCGCTGGCGTTGTGGGCCTGGTTGAGGACGCCCGAGGACGCGCTCCTGCCCTTCCTCTGGGGAGGTTCCTTGGGTGGGTTCCTCCGCAGGACGTGCCCGAATAGCTGGGGAGCGCCCGCACCGCAATCCTGGCGCCTCCCAGGACTGTGCTTAGAATGCATCCTCCCAGGAAAATACTGCGTTCTCCTCCGTTTAACCCTTATTGGGCGAATTGTGGGTATTGCTGTGAAACGGATTTGACTCTCGAGAAAGGCCCTTGCACGGCTTGAAATGAGCATTAACCTGAGAAGGAGCAAAAGGCGGTTGTCCGGCGGCGTCCTTCCCCGCCGTCTGCTGCCTCGCCCAACCCGCTG